CTCGGGGAACTGCAAGACCAGAGCCGGGGAGGGGAAGCGCGTCTCTGCCAGGAAGCTGGCGGCTCCGGACTCCCGCCGGGCGGGCTTCTCTCCCCCTCCCACCTGCCCTCCTTGGTCAGAGACACCCAGAGTCAGGTGTCAGGCTGCCCTGCCTCGTCCTCCCCGCTCCTGGGCTGTGGCCCGTCTCTGCTCTGGGTCCATCTCCCCACCTGTAGGAGGACTGGGGGAGCCCCAGTGGGCTGCGGTCCCCAGCGGCCTTCCAGTCACAGGGGAGAGAGCACAGCCCCGCAGTCTTCCCCCGAACATGCCCTGGGATTCTCCGCGGGTGCTCTCTCGCACCGGAAGCTTCTTCACGTGATAACCCACCTGTCTTTCCTACAACGTGGTCTCCCCCCGGGAAGCAGCCGGGCTCTCCTTACGCCACATTTCCGTGATAACCGAATTTACATCGCGTTATTATCAAATTCATGAATGATTCTAAATGGTTCTTGTTACAGATGAAACAGGTGTTTCCCTTTTAAAAAGCTCCAGGTGACAGCAAGAGCTGTTGTGCAAAGTCACGAATGGAGAAAACAGTTTCTATAGTTTTGCCTTCAGGGGAAGGAATAGTTGAAAAAAATGACGTCGTCTGCTAGACCCCGCGGGAGTGCCAGCCAGCCGCGTCCGAGTGCAGGCCTCCAGGGACTCTCGCCAACTGTGATTACCGACTCCGAAGTGACCTTTTGCTCCCCTGTACCTCCCGCCCGGGCAAGCCTTCCGTTCTGGTTCTATCATCCGCCTCCTGCTCAAGACGGCGCAGTGACCCCTTGCCCGCCTGCTGAGTGGACGCAGACCTCCGCACTCGGGCCTTCCCCTTCCATGTCTTATGTCCCTCTGACCCCCCCACACCGCGTTCCAGCCAACGTCAGCTGCTGTCCGTTGCCAAGCACATCCCACCTTCCCCCAAGTCCGTAGCTTCAGCTCTCGCTGGGGTTTTGTGGGGGATCCTGGAGCTCCTGCCTCTTATCCACGGAAAAAGCCTCTCTTCGTCCCATAAAGCATCACGTCACCAGTGGTGGACCTGCAGGCAGGGACACGTCTATTCCTCCCCAGATCCCCCGGTCCAGCTCGGCCCTGGTCCAGAACAGTCGGTGAGCTCTGTTGGATTCGAGGGAACACATCTAATGGGAACGAAATGGGGTCCAGTCCCTGCTTGGGACGAAGCGTAGTGACAGAGACAAGATCACCCCTAGGCTCGGACCCACACTTGGCTAAGCTCTTACACGAAAGCAGAGGGGAAGAGGCCACGCCCACGCAGAGCACCTGCTGCCTCATAACTGGGCACATGCTGGGCTGTCCCGACTGCCCGCGTCACAGAACGTACCCCGATTCTCAGGAAGGTGACCTTCTCGCAGCCAGGAAGCGGCCAATCCTCGCCACGGGGCACCGGCCTCCTCCCTGCTCGCGCTGCCAGGGAGTTAAAGGCACCACCAGTCCTCAAGCTGTATTTGCTTCTGAGCACGTAGCTTGGGTTCAGTGGGGCCACCATCCCACCCACGGCCATGCTGGGCCCCAGGAGAAGCCATAACTGGGATGCCACCATGTCCATGGACGTAGCTTCCACTCCGGGCCAGACATCCCCAGGTGCTGCCTCACCTCCCAGCACAGCCGCTCAGCACCCCGTGTCCTGACTCTCCAGGACGGGCACCTCTCCAGACCTGGGGTCCACCTTCTCGTCCTCTCTTGTCCTTAATCTACCGAGGTACGGCGCCATCTCCCCCCACCCTGGACGTCTCTCCGTCTATGCCTCCTGACACTTAGCCCGGAGCCGCATCTCTCACCCCAGGACCCCTCTACGTCCCTGCTGCTTCCATAATAATCCTTCTAAAGTGAAATCATGCCCGTTCCCTCCTCAAGCTCTTCCAAAGGCTGACCATCACCTTGGAGATAAATTCAAATTCAGTGATTTGTTCCACACAGCCAACAGGGATATTCAAATCACTTCACGGCCGCCAGTTTGTTCTGAATGTCACCGGGCACCAACCAAACCAAACAGACTCTAGCCACCATGTCCCGAAGGATGCTTGCGGGGCCAGACGTTAACTCGTCGGTGGCTGGGCTGTAATGAAGGCGAGGGTCCCTACGGGGCGCCTCTGGGACTTGGGTCATAGGCAGTTTGCAAGCAGCGCCGAGACACCCGCAGGGCGGCTTGCTGGGCCCCAGGTGAATATCAGCTGCGCACACAGCCCACAGCTGCCGGCCTCTCGCTAAGTCCCTGCTTCTGGGCACAGCTCCAAAGGCCACACTTCAGGGACACGGAATGCCCCCCCACCCCCAATCATGCCTAGAAGGTTCTTCTCCATGTTCCTGCTCCAGGGTCATCCCGTCCCTGGGCGTGGGTCATCTCCGCGCGCAGTCTCTCCCTCCCCTGCCACCCTGCAGGGTGTTGGTCTCAGTCCTCACCGTGTTCACCGCACCAGCAAGAGAATGGACACTCGGGGCACAATCCACAGACCTCGTTCAGGTGAGCTGGTGCCCTCTGGGGCCGGGGAGCCTGCAGACCTCGACTCGGGGCAAAGCTGTGCAACATCACCAGCGGACTCTGGGACAGTTTCTGTATGAAAACCAAGCACAGCGCACAGCGCACAGCCCCCCACAACTGTCACTGCAAACCTCTCACCGCGAGTTCCGAGCACGAGCTAGACACACGCACACACACACACACACACACACCCCGAGCTGCATTAATCAGTTTTACTCATGCCCATTAAACTACTGTGTGCGTTTAAAAACTAACATTTTGAACAGTAGAAAACACACTGGTGCAGTTTAAAGGATAAAATGGTGATACACATAGAAGTTCGAAGCTTTTCTTTTCACGTCTCTCTGGGCCGTGCTGGGTGTCGCCCGTGCCGGAGGCCGCTACGGAGATGCTCTGCGCCTTCCGGGCGCTGTAACCCCTCCAGACCGACCTTGTCCCGGGGACTACTCTGCACGATTCTAGGTTTCCACCGGAGCCCAGATCCAACGCTAGAAACAGGTTATTCGTGTGCCTGGAAGTTACCTTGAAAGCACATAGTGTGTCCTCTATAGAAAAAAATATATAAATAGAAGAAAGAGCCCTTTATCACATCTTCTGTAGATAAGAAATAAACACCTGGAAGATGGAGGGCAGTGGTGTCCAAAGGGCAAGTTGTGCCCCCAGGGGACGTGTAGCCATGTCTGGAGACATTTTCAGATACACGAGAGCTGGGATGCCACGGTCGTCCAGCGGGTAGAAGCCTCGGGTGCCGTCAAACGTCTTATAGTGGGCAGGACGGCCCCCCACCCCCGCAAGAGAGAATTATCTGCACCGAGCACTGGAGAGCACTGGGTCGTCTACCCGGGTGCAGAGGAAGGTCTAAACCACCTGACAGGCTCCCACCCCACCTGCTAGGGAGGAGCCACGACCTTGAGCCGATGACCTGATCGTGCTTGCCTGCGGCTCCCTCAGCAAGAGGACTGAACACATTCACCTGTGCGTCCTGTCAGTCACATGACACGGCGACGAACAGTATCCAGTCTAACCCGGAGAATCGTGACATTCAGTAAGGAGGTTGGCAGTTTTGTAATGTGTGCGACAGACGCCGGGTGGCAGCCCGATGTGACAGCACGAGGTGAAGCCAGTCGTGCCGAGACCCAGCGGCTGGGTGTCCTCCGTCCACGCTGAGGCGCACAGAGACACCTATGTCGTAGTCTAACGTCTCTGCATTCAAACGACCGCGTTTTGCTGTCACATTCAGCCGTTACAGATGGTAACTGCAGTCACCCAAACCTGGTGGTCAGTTCGGGCACTAAAACCCTACGGCTCACGGGGGGAATGTGAGCCCTGACGTTGACTGGAAGCCGTCCGTGGGCACCTTTCATGGTAGCAGCACAAACGCCCCAGAACTTCCAGAACATGCAGAACTGGCCCAGATGCTCTCGGAGAGCTTGAAATGTGGAGGAGCGCCTTTCCGCCGATGGAGCTCCGCCGACCTGCTCCCAGCCTGCTCTCGCCCTCAGGGGACACGCAGGTGAGCCTAACTCGGCTCGCCGGTCCGCGGCGCTCAGGCCAGGCTGTACTTGGAAATAAAACAGTGAGTTTTTAAAAATATTGTGACCTCCACACCGAGGCACTGAGATTAAAATCTTTGGAGGCAGGCTCGGGCGGCGGAACGTTCTAACGTGCCACCCTGGGAAGTGCCTCCTGAAAGAGGTCACCGGCTTGAAGAAGCGTCTCTTTAAACCACAACTCCACCACCTGTGACCACCTGTCTGTCTTCTGGTGCACTTACGGCGGGACAGCCGGACCGCCCATCTACCTGCCGGCCGGGGACTCCGCATCCCGAGATAAGACCTTACCTGACACGGCACGGGGACTCCACAAAGAACGAACGGACAAGCAGGTACGTGGAAGGAGAGGCGTTTATTTTGTCAGGAACTTTCAGATCACACGGGTGCCACGGCTCGTGTGCCCATTTCAAAGAGTAAAGAGTCTGTGCGCTTTCAAAATCGTTACTCGGTAGAGTGACCCGTCCGGTGCAAGTCCCGAACCCCCACCCCCGCCAAGTCAGAGGTAGAAACAAACACACAAGGGGGAAGACGGTTAGGTCCAAGGTCAAGCCACAGCTCACAGCTACAGGTTGTTGATTTCTTGGTCGCTGTGCAGTGGGGGTGGGGAGGACGGGTGACAACACCCTGCAGGTTCTGACAGCTTTGTCCCACACTCAGGCTCCTTGTCCGAGCCGCTGCTGAATAGCAGCTAAAGTTCTCCAGGAATTTAGACCCGACAAAGGAGAGTCCTCTGTCACCTTCAAATACCACTTAGGAGCTCTTTCCTGGAGCCAGTGTTTCCTGTGTCCCAGACCCCACCAGGAAGTCAATAACCTTCATATAGCCTTTGCTTCGACCTCGGGTTCAGGGACGTCGACGCCCGGCTTAAAGAGAGCTTGGGGCATGACCTGGCAAAGCCAGGTTTTTTTGAGCACGCGCGCCCGGGGTCACTGCCCCCCGGGGTCCGCGCCCTGTCCCGGGACTCGGGCGTCCTGCTCCGGGGCTCGGGCATCCTGCTCCGGGGCTCGGGCGTCCTCCGCCGGCGGCTTGGGCACGTCCAGCATGGTGGACGAGTCTCTCCGGGGGTTCCCAGTCACCAGCATCCAGTGGTTCCTCGGCTTCTCGACTCGGTGCGAATCCAGGTGTGTGTGAGCAGCCACTTCCACTTCCTTTCCGAAACAGCCGCTGGGTCGGGAGAGAATGGACCCCGGTTGGAAACAGAGCAGTGGTTCTGGGTGAGTAACTCTGTCCGCCCACGTCTGAGCCCCAGGTCCCTCTGGGATACGTGTGTGCCGGACCTTGCCCCTGCCTGCGTGGTGATGAGGGACACAGGGTCCCACCACAGCTACAGTCATCTCGTCGGGCAAGGACCTGTGGGACGCCAGGGCTCGGGCAGGATTTGCCACACCTTTGAATCTTTTGTGACAACCCTTCATCATCAAAGCACTCGTGTGTGTGTCCACACTCTAACTCGAGCTTCTTGGGGCGTCTGGGTGGCTCAGTCAGTTGAGCTTCTGACTCTCGATTTAGGCTCAGGTCACGGTCTCAGGGTTGTGAGATTGAGCCCCATGTAGGGCACTGCGCTGGGCAGGGAGTCTGCTTGAGATCCTCTCTCCCTCCCTCTGCCCTCCCCCTCCAAAATAAATACAGAAATATAATCACATCAGTCGAATGTCTTTGTGCCCCTATCCGTGGCATTTAGCTGAATTGAGCAACACATACCTTAAGAACAGGTGTCTGTGGGCTGCCAGCCCCCGGTTCGTTTGGGAGTGATTGAGGATAATTTTTGCATTTGCCTTTAAAGATGAAGAGAGTGTGTTATTTGCATTACGAACTAAGACCTCCAATTCCTAAAGGCGAAAAGTTGGAAATATACTATATATTCACTTAAATGTAGTTCAGTGAAATAGAGAGATGGAAATAACCTAGAAGCCAGACTTTAATGGATGGATTTCATACACTGTTGCAGGTGCACAGGGGACAGAACATCCTAGAATCCCTCAGAGCCACACTGGAAATTTTTCACAACATGAGATGTAACCAGCAGTGTTTCTAAGTGGAGAAGATAAGGATATCACTGATGTCCTATTTCATTAAAAAAAATTGAAATTAAATAAAATAAAGAGACATGCATGGAAAAAGACAGAGATGATAAATGCCAGCGGGGCTCTCTGGAGGGTGGTGGAATTACTGGTTATTTTCATTTTATTTGCTGTGCTTTTCTGATTTTTCCTTCGGCGAGCATATATTTTGTTTATAACCCAGGAAAAAAATACGTATTGTTTCAAACTCCTGGCTCCTGGAAGCTAACCACCGTGAGGAAGAGCAAAGCCCTCGCCACTCCCGTAGGACTTACGCAGCATCAGAAATGCCCACGTCAGATCAGGCCACCCTGCAGCCAAGGAGGGTCCCACCCGAACACAGACAAACCGTGCGCCCTGTCCAAGACGCAGGTCTCCCCATAGCCGCCCTTCCCAGCTGATATAGCAGGAGCCTGGCCCTGGCTTCCCTCCCACAGCTAAGGCGTACTGAGACAGCGGCAGAGAATTACCCCCGCTTCCCGATGGCGTCACGTCACGAGCAGAGCCCCGCTTCCCGGGAAGCTCCCTAGAGCCCAGGCTGCACTCACCAGCACGGGGCAGCCTTCGCACTCCAGGCGGAGCTGGGGGTCCAGGAAGGCGGCCTGCCAGCAGTTCAGGTAGGAGGCCTCATCGGTCAGGTACACCTCCTGGAGCCAAGACCTCTTTGATGACCTCAGCAGGGTCCTGTGGTCACTGGATAAATACAGCTGAAAATGACAATGTGGGGGTGAGCTACGTCACACGGCTGGAGAAGCTGGGGGGTGAACCACCGACCGGCGTGGTGTCAGGTACGGTCCAGCGCAGTTCTGGAAAAGCCCCTTCTTGGGGATGGTGTGAGAACACTCGGGTTTCCTCCATTTAGAGACGTCATCGCAGGAGGCTGAGGCTACCACCCCCAGCACCCTCACTGCTTTGCCTTCCTTTGGGTGCCAAACCCGCTCTCTCTCCTCCTCATCCCATCCCTGCTCCCCCTCCTCCTTCCCAGGGCTCAGGCCAGAACCCCAGTTTTGCTTCTTAGAAACAGTGTTGCTGCATGAAGGGAAGTGCCTCACAACCAACACCGTCACCGACATTCACCGTGGGCCCCCGAGGACGGCTCTCTGGAGCTGACCTCCCCGCAGGGGACTTATTCAACAGCTCTCAGGCCCTGTTACCGGGCCCAACCTGCAGAAAAGTCGGAAACATAAGCTGCTGGTTAGTTCTTTAGTGATTGACCTTCACCCCGAACCTGGAGGCTGTTTCTGGGTAGGTTCTCATGGGCAAAGCTAGGCCACGAGGCGCTCGCTGCGGGGAAGGCAGAAGTGAGTTACTCTCTTGGAGGCCTTTCCTGGCGAGCCAGACAGTGATGGAGGACAGGCCTGGAAGCACCCATAGACTCTAGGAAGGTCGGACAGGCTGGCAGGGATGGGAGGGGCTGCTGGCAGGCAGAGGCGAGGACACACACTTACCCAGGGGCTCAGGAGAGCCTCTGAGGGGGAGGCAGTGCGGGGCTGGGCACCCGAGGGGCTGGTTGCACGTGGACAGGGAGGGCGGGGACATATCACAGAGGACCTTAGATGCCACCGTGGACGGCAGCACTAACCAGACCTGAGCCCCTAGAGCATCGACCGGGCAGCGTGCGTCTCCTATGGTCTGAGGTCAGGACAGACTAGAGGGATCCAGCGTGGACCAAGGTCCTGGCACTGGGGATGAAAAGACAGGCCCAAGAGCACTAGGAAGGGAGAGCCGTGGCCATGACCATGAGTAGGATGTAGACAGGGAAGAGAGACCGGCCCAAGACACACTCGGGCTCTCGGTGATCGGGGAAATCCAGGGCAACTGAAAACCTGCACTTCAAATGGCAAAGACTGTCTACCTCAGACCACAAACTCCATTGTGTTAATGTGAAGAGAAATAATAGTGAGCCAGGCACAACTCTAGAAGGGTGGCCATACCCGATTTTTTTAACGAATGCCCTGGAAGTACTTGCTAATTCACAGACGAGGAACGGAAATAAGAAAATTTGAGAAGAGACTGAACTGTCCCTTGAGAATGAAAGCACCGCAGACCTGAATGTCCTAAGAGAATTAACCAGAGAACCACGAGAGAGAATAGAGTGAGGTTTCACCAGAGGTGAGTCTCAACAGCAGCGGCTTTCTTACATTTTTCTTGCAACTAACTAAGGGCCCCCCATAAGGGCCGTCCACAGCAGAAGATACTGGGGGACAACCTCAGCGGGATCAGCATCGAATCCCCGGGAAGAAAACCACAGAACTTAACAGAGAGATAAGAAAGAATAAACGAATAAATGGGGAGACCTCTCAGAAAAAGAAATGTCATGAAGCATCAAATATGTGAATTTATGGAATTTTCCAGTGCCAATAAAATGCCACGTGATTTTTTATCCCCCCCTCCCCCAGGGAGAGGGACTTGCAGAAATAATTACATGTAACTGAGAGGTTAACTAATTCCTAATATAATTCAAAAAAGTGTAATGAGAGAAAACTGGCCCAACGTGCAGTCAAAATACACATTATACTGTAAAGCATAATTCTAGAATAAAAAGACACAATTTGGCTTGAAAGGGTTAGAACAGGAAGCTCAGAGACAGCAAGCAGTCTGCAGAGTGATGCTACGGGGAGATGTGCGTGTCAGAGAGGAAAGGAGTCATCGTTCAAGAAACAACACAAATGCAGCTTATTAGTCGTTTAGGGGAAATCGCATGTCTCCACAGAAGCCTGCGCCAAAATAAATCTCAAGCAGACAAACAACAACCAGAAACAAAAGTGAAACTTCAGCCACCGAGAAGTCGATAAAAGTTTGTCTTTTCGTGGTATTTCTAGAGCAGACTTTATAGGGCTCTGAGCAATGGAAGGGATTATGAAGGAAAACACAGTGTATACGTTACTCAAAAATATGTTAGAACAACTCTGACCTCAAAGCCACGTAGCCAAAAATAAAATAAAATAATAAAATAACAAAATCCAAGAAGCAAATGGGAGGGAACATGACAAAGAAAATGACAAAATGTTATAACCTAAGGAAGAGCAGATACTGAACACAGGTCAGTGCACGGACACAGGACGAAAGATTTACAGGAGACAAAGAAGATGGGACAGTTAAGGACAGCGTTGGTGGGGGGAGAGTAAGGGAAGGGAGATCGAGGAGGAGAGAGAGAGAAACCAGAAATGGTGCATCTACTTCTTCTGGGGCTTGTAACTTTCTCTGCATTTTATTTCTTTTTTTTTAAGGATTTTATTTATTTGACAGACAGAGATCACAAGTAGGCAGAGAGGCAGGCACAGAGAGAAGGGGAAGCAGGCTCCCCGCTGAGCAGAGAGCCCAGTGAGGGGCTCGATCCCAGGACCCTGGGATCATGACCTGAGCCAAAGGCAGAGTCTTTAACGCACTGAGCCACCCAGGTGGCCCTCTCTATTTTAAATCCATTCTGAGAGAACAAAGTGTAAAAGAAAATAATGTTAGTAATGTTAACCTCTGGATAAGACAAGGGTGATTTACGCACCCCCCTGCAACAATATGGTATTTTCTCTAATTTCTACATTTTTTTCTTAATTCAGGCCGCGGCTTACCATCTAAGGTGTATAGGGGTTTAACTGGCAGTGCTGATTTTACCTGGCAGCACAAAAGGTAATAAATAACGTTACCTCGTACCATCATGGAAGCTTTGATTCAGCGAGAAATGGTTAAATGGTACCCCTTCTGCCACTGGACCCCTGAGCGGCTTGGAGCAAGATCACCTGACCTCGTGCCTCAGTTTCCCCATCACTAAAATGGGGTAAAACAGTCCCTAGTTCAAAGACCTATTTGGATGATTAAGTGTGTGTGCATTTGTGTATGGCATGTAGTAAGGTTTACTAATCCCCATTTTATAAATGAGAAAGGCTCGAAAAAGTTAAATGACTTATCCGAGGTCCCACTCCGGAGAGAGACATCTCGGCTCGAGTTAGACCCAGATTTATCTGGTTCTGTTACCCTCCTCATCTCCGAGGGAAAGAGAAAGATCAAGTTACAAAAACCAGAATAGTTATCGGGCAACACACCTCGATAGCTTTGGTGACACTGACCGCTATCAGACGACGATTAATTAATCCAACCATCAACTTGCAGGTGGAGGTGGCAGAAAGCTGTGCCCGCCGTCGGCTGCATTGCAAAAAGCGTTTTCTCCCTTACTCCGTAGCGCCTAAGGGTCTGTTTCTGTCCTTCGGAAAGCTACAAGGCAAGAAGTGGCCCGAGAGCCGCAGGCAGAGGTTCCACAAGCCAGAGGCAAAGCCCACACGACACAGTCCTCTGTCCATCTCCACAGGTGACCATGAGCCGCATGGAAACCATCGCCTGGCCCCACACACCGTGCACTGTGAGGACTCACCATTCTGTCTTCAAATCCTCCCGTCGTCGCAAGGCAGAAGTTCTGTCCGTATCTAAGGACCTGGCCCATGGCGTTTCTGTCTGCACTGTCAGGGAAAAATAAGCATCATGTCAATTCTCTATTAGAATTTTTCTACATTCGGGGCGCCTGGGTGGCTCAGTCGTTAAGCCTCTGCCTTCGGCTCAGGTCATGGTCCTGGTGTCCTGGGATCGAGCCCCGCATCAGGCTCCCTGCTCGGCGGGGAGCCTGCTTCCTCCTCTCTCTCTGCCTGCCTCTCTGCCTGCTTGCGATCTCTGTCTGTCAAATAAGTAAATAAAATCTTTAAAAAAAAATCAATTTTCTTGATAATGTCTTTCACACACATTAGCTGATTTGGTAGCTAAACATTTTCAAAATGGTCATTTCTCTGGGCCTTCAAATCTAGCTGACATCCTGTCCCTATCCCCCTGCCCCACCCCCGCTTCCGCCGTGGCCAGTGTGCGGAGCGTCCGTCCGTGTGAGCACAGCGAGCTGTCTTCCATTGAGGGGTTGTGGCCAGGGGCATGGACATCTGGATAAAGAGCCCTCCTGGTCAGGTATACACACTTAACACAGTCTTCCCTCCTAATGCTCCAGGACACAGAAGCTGTGGTCCACTTTTAGTTGTCTTGACAGAACTTCTCAGTGTTCGAAGGAACTCTGAAGCCAACACTCAAAGGAGGGGCGTCTGGGTGCTTCAGCCGGCAAACCGCCCACACCACCGGCTTCGGCTCAGGTCATGATCCGGGGATCGTGGATCAAGTCCCACATCGGGCTCCCTGCTTGGCAGGAAGCCTGCTTCTCCCTCTGCTTCTCCCCCTGCTTGTGCTCTCTCTGACAAAAAAAATAAAATCTTTAAAAAAAAAATTAAGACTTAAAGGATGGCTGTACTTTTGTCATGAAAACATTGCCATCGTTGTTCAATCACAGTAAAAGCAATCCTGTTTTGTTGTTACTATGTATCTGTTCTCTAAGGATTTAATGGACGATTTCAAGATCTCAGCTACAGTTTTAGCGAATAATTACAAAGTAACAAATCCCGCATAGTGCCACCTTGCACGGGACTATTTCTGTTCTAAAAATAGCGACACTGAGAGACACTCCAATGAGCTCCAAGCATCCTGAGATGTTATTAGGAAAACCCAGTTTCTAGGCAGAACACAATTTTAGTTTCCTAGATCCAATACTTTTGAATGAAGCATTTATAACGGAACACAAATTAGCAGTTGTCCTGACGTTTAAGGGGAAGGGCAAGTGAAGGCCACCAACAGTAACCCCGGGGGGAGGCAGCAGGACGGGAAGCACAGAGAGCGTCCTAGACGACACGGCTACGGTCCCAGGGCTTCCTGAAGCTGGAAGTGAAAACATATTTATGATAAACATGAGTTGAAAATTCAAGTGTCCGTACCTCAAAATGATGAAAGTGTTTCTGCCAACAGGGATCTTGGTTCGAGCTGCGCTCAGCCCACAGGGCACCTCTAACTGGTCACTCAGGGGCGATTTAATTTCATCCAGAGTCATGCAGAGGCTCAGGTCCCCGCCCAAAACCAAATCAGCTTCTGTCTCAGGGTAGTCTGGATTCACAAGCATCACTTTGTCACCACAGCGAAGGTACCCGTCCTCCGTGATGGAAAGCTGCATCTACAATTTAAATTGTTTTTCAGACAACCCAGGTGTTTCCTCAACAGCCAGTGCAGAGACCCCTGCCAGATGCCCCTTCCCCACTTCACTGTCGAGGACCCGTTCCAAGAGGGGCCACATTACTCGGGGAACTTGTGATAACTTGCATTCCCTCAAGTCCTTCGTTCTCTTCCTTTTCCTGCGGCCGACCCCCTCCCACTTTACCAACGTCCCCCCCAAATCCCAAACAGAGTAAGAAAGCCAATGAAAAATCACATGCTGAACCCACTCTTAAATGATTCAGACTCACTGGAAATGTCCTGAGCACTGAGTAAGGGGCATTTTACAGATTCCTGTACTGATCCTGGAAAATGCGGGTAAATGTAATTAAGAGCAGATTTAGCCTACGTTTCTAAAATCTTAGGGGATTATAAACATTGTGGTTTTCAGCTCTAGAAGGAGGACAATGGTATCTTCCAGATGATAATTCATTTATGGAACGTTTGCTTGCTTAACACACACACTTAATTCGATACAATTTTGAGGACAGCGCTCAAATTTAAAATTACCGGTCTCAAAAGATTCTCTTTGAGTCTCCTATTTCTCTGTATGAGAAGCTGTCCCTTTTCTCTCTTCTCCAAGAAGTCCTTCATGCGCTCCTGGTGAAAGAGAAAATGAAAAAAAACCCAAAGGTCAACAATGGTCCTCAATTTACAGACCCCAGTAGCTTCTAGGTCAGAAGCACGTCAAGCTGAAAAAGCACATTCTGAGAAAAAGAAAGATGAGCCTAATGGGAATGGTGAAAATTGTTTTGGCTTTAATATTTTTACTTCTTTGTAGAAGGCTTGAAAAAAATGACACATACCAAAAAAAAAAAAAAAAAAAAAGGAAAAAGAAAAAAAAGCCCTCACCCTTGATTACCCCGTCCAGAGACAATCATGAATAACATTTGATGACCATGTGTCCACAGTGCAGGTCTCCCCTGGTTGTCCACTGCTGCCCCCACCAACCGCCCCCCCTCCAGCTAGATGGATGCCTGATGGCTCAGGGCCTTGTCTGAGTGTAACGTCAGGGAAAGGGACACCACAGGGACGCCTAGGAGGGTGTGTGTATGACAGGGGTGGGGGGGGACCTCCACAGAGAGCCTGCCTCCTCCTCACCAGACCTCAGCCTCTGAAACCCTTAAGTCTGTAAGGACGGAGGGAACTTGTGGGGCTCTGGGCTGAGGGAGGTTTGGAGACTAAGGGACCTGCAGAAGGAGCAGGTGTGAGACTTGGCGGTGTGGGACAGCAGGTGAACTTCCTGGGGCTTCCGGACCCGGGTGGGTTGTTAGGCTACTGGGTGTCTGCTGGGTGAGAAGGAGGCCCGGGGGGGGCAGAAGGACTTGGGGCGGGTGGGGCGGGGAGGTTCCTCAGTAGTGGGGAGGCCGCACCAGCTGCACATGCCTACCTCCTCCAGGTAGATGTCCTCGTTCCAGTTGCCCATTCGCACTCCCGGACCGTACAGGTTCTGCGCCATCCTGCCCTCAGGCCAGCGACCAGCCAGCCGGCCTGCCTCCCCCACCTGCCTTGTTAGCGTGCCTTGTTGCCTTGACAACCGGCCCAGAGCGATTGGCCAGGTCCGGGGCCTGCTGGCCAATCAGTGGCAGCACAGGAGCAGGGGGGCGCAGCCAGGGGGTTGGGGGAGGGGGCCCAGGAGGGATGGGGGGAGGGGAACTGCACACTCGCAGCCTGGAGTCCCTTCCACTGTGATTTCCCTGAATTTAATTCCAATGCAGGCAGGTGGACTAACGCCAGCCCTCGGGCCTCGTGGTACTAAAAATGTAAAACACTTTTTTCT